GAGCCGCCCCGGAGCTGCCGCCCGAGGTGGCTCCGGCCGCGGCGCCCCCGCCTCCGCCCTGGAGGTAAGAGAGGCCCAGCACCGAGGAGGGCACCCGCGGCGTGGGCACGTAGACCGGCGAGGACGCCGCGCCCGCGCTGTGCATGAAGGCGCCGGGGCCGCCCGCCTCGTAGGCCCCCGGAGGGGGGCCGTGGTTGGCGGCCATGGCCAGGCTCTGGTACATCGCCCCTGCGAGCTCTCGGCTTCTGAGTCCTCTCGCTCACGCGCAGGTTAAGGAGCAAAGCGGGAAGAGAAAATAATAACAATAACAATAATGATGTACAGATGAGAGACTGTCACAAAAACGAAGATCAAAAATCAAAGGTAAAAAAACAAATCCCTCAAAAATATATACGTATTAAATCCAGCATTGAGCAAAAGACTCTAGGCTCTTGTGGACTCAGGAAAATCCCAAATTGAATTTTCGGTTGTTCCCAGAGGTGGTGGAGGAGGAGCCGAATCCACCCCAGGGCCTGGAGGTCCCGAGCGCCTACGGGTGGTGCCTGGGCGCGCGCGGGTGTGGGGCGCGGGCCTTTGGGTGTCGTAGGGGCCGTCGCTGCGCACGGTCTTCAGGACAAGCGCGGCCTCGGGCGCAGGGTGCGGTAGGCTGGCTCCAATGCCCAAGGCCCGGCTGGCTCCTTTCCTCCTCGCTGCAGCCGCAGTCCTAAAGGAGGAACGACAAAACGGGAGAGGGGTTCATCCGGAGCTTTCAGAGCCCACTTTCCCTACGCTTGGTTTCTCCCGCACGGCAAACGGAAGCGCCACTCTCGGGGCCCAGCTTTGGAGGCCACGCGGTTCCACGGGAGGCTGCGGTCTTTGTTTTGCCGAGGCCGTGGGGTCTGGGGCCTGGCTGCCCCGGGGAAGCCTTACGGAGGGGCGCATAGAAACGTGGGGCTTCCCGGTTACTGAAAATGTAATTATTGATTGTGACCTAGGTCAACTTTTTTGTATTGCTTGTCAGGAAGGACTTTAATTTTACCTTATTTTTAAAGCGTATTCTTGTCACAGTATTTCATAAGTCCATGGGTTTCGGGTTTCCGCGTAGTGCCTGGGACTCAAGAAATCTCGCTCATCTCATCTGTTCCCCCAACTATCCCCAAGCGTTCCCGTCCATGAAAGAACTTTAGATTGCCCATGGAAGACAACGATAAACTTTATAAAAACCAGCAACTTAACACATTTTTTGTTTGTAATCTTTTTTTTTTAACTAGAGGTAGAGTTTAAATGTTTATAAATGAGCACTGTCTGCTAAATCTCAGTGAAAAGAATTGTGAAATCTCTTAACCATACACTATACCATGTAGATGTCAAATCAGACGAGATACACGTTTCTTGTAAATAGTTATATTTTAGAGATTTTGCAGATTGGATATTAAGACCAGAAAAGTGAGAGGAATGTACCAGGTCACTTTATAGAACTACTCACTGGACATTCCAAGTCATTGAATGGGTCTGTCATTTAGAATTACTGGCCCACTCATGTGTGGAATCAACACCAATGAGACTGCTTGGAGAAAAGATCAGTTTGTAGGACTTGATTATATCCTTGTATCCTGTTTTGATTTTATCAGGCAATTTTTCTGATAGAATAAGTGCTCCACGTTCTGAAGCACCTGCTCTGTTGCAGGTCCTTTTCTCCACAACTCCACTAAGTGGAAGTGTCTCTTCTCATTTTATAAGAGGGAACTGAAGCACTGCAAAGTTTTGAAACGTATCTAAGATCAAAGTACAATTAAAGAGGGTGGGGGATGGGGTGTGCAGAGCTTCAGGGTTTGAGCTGTCCACCACACCCCCTCTTTTCTCCTTAAGAAGCAGCAGCTACTCCTAATAGTGGTTTCTTTTTCACTGCAATACTAGAGACTTACAAAGGTATTAACTGAACTACCTACTGAATCCAGGCTCTGCCACTTACTCAATGAATGACTTCAGACACATTACTTAACCTCTCTGTGCCTCAGTTTCCTCACTTGCAAAAATGCAAATATTAAAGGTATCCAGCAGAATCATTGTGAGGATTATAAATTAATATATGTAAAGCACTTAGAGTATTATAAAACTCATAACAGGCACAAAGTAAGGTTTATATAATTGTTGCCTATTATTATTATCACCGATTTCTAAGAAACTGCCTCAGATGCAATATGTACTATAATAAATGGTCATCTTTATTATTGTAAAAAATTCTGGAAATGGATCTTTAATACACACTATTTAGTGCTTTTAACCATTTTTGCAACATCACTAAAATAATAATAATAATGGAATTAATAGCAAGGTATTTATAGTCACATGTTAACTCCCAAATGGTTTATTATGTGCTTTCAAAACGATACAATAAATTATTGGTTTGGTGGATATTTCCTTCCAGTAAGAAGTTTGGTCAGAGGGTGGATATAAAAAATTTGACCTGAGATCACCAACTTTCCCCTCTGAAAATGAAGGCAAAACATTAATACCTTATAGGAATCTCTGGGCTTCAATAAGTAAATATGTAGGCTTACCTTAATAAAATATTCAGTATTTAATTTTTAAATCAAATAGTTGACCTATTTCATGGTATTTCCTGTAATACTCAACTTCTGCAGTTCTAAAACATAATGTCATTAGTTTTTTTCTCACATAACTGCAGGAAAGGAAGATTTATAATTTTGAAATACAACTTCCAATATACATACAGATGCTAATTTACAAGCTTCCAAATGTAAAACGCTAAAAATGCCACAAATCTAACACTTTATTACATTCTCTGCCTTTTAAACTGCTGATACATTACATCGGAGTTGGATTACTGAACAATAGAAGGTGGAGAAAAAGTCCCTCTGTACCTTTCTGGAAAGACAAGAAATCAACCATTCCCTTAAAACGACTCTTGCTTGTTTCTGTAATTGAGCCTGGGTCCAGGCGTCCGCGGAGGAGGAGCTCCCGAGAATGGCAGAAGAGGTCTGGCCTCGCCGAGGGGGCCCAGGTCTGAGCCCCCGTTTTCCCTCTCCTCTTGATCTCTCATCCCAGTTCACCCCAAATTCACAGGCCAGACAGGAAATGCTTTCTTCCTTCGTGATTTAGCCCACAGCCCTTTTCCGATCTTTTTCTGAGAGCAGGAGGATCGAGAGCGCCCTAATGTTCGCGTCCATTTACAGGTCACTCCGGCTCTTTCGCTCAGCTCGCTCCTTTGCTCTAGGCCTGCTGCGCAGAAAACTGTCACACGCTAGCCGGCGACAATGAAGCTGGCCGCTGCTGGGGACGTGGAGACACAGACGGGTGGGGGGCATCACCCTGTCACCCCAGTGAAACCTTTCTCCCTTTAAAAGCCTGAAACCTGCTCTCGGCTGCCCGTTCCTATTCTGAGAAACAGGAAATGCTTCCCCAACCTTCCCCGCAGCGCCAGCCGCGCTGCCCCGACTCCCACCGGCCATGGGTCCCTCGCCTCCCTCCTCCCCCAGCCGAAAAGCCCCTCGCTCCCTCAATCTGGCGGCAGTTCACCACCTGGGCATCCTCCGCTCCCCTGGGTGACCCCCTAGCCCAAAGCCAAGCGACATAATATCGTGGATCCGGGCAGCTAACCGTGGCCAGCGGAGGGACGTCACTGGTCTCCGCCCGGGTTCCGGCCCTCAGCTAGTTTCACCCAGAAGCAGTGTGAGCAGGTGAGGGTGTGAGCTTCGTGAGGGGCGTTTAGCTTCCTGGACCCCAGTCAGGAAGGCGAGGAGGCCGACCAGAAGGCATAAAAAGTTCGGGCGCTCAGCAGCCGTTCCCGACTTCGGAGCGCCTCCCTGGGGCCCGAGGCCCAGTTGCGCTGCCTCTCACCGCCACTCGGCGTCTCCGGAGTCGCCGACGGGAGACACTCCCCCGTCTGAGCCGCTCAGAGTGCGGCCTGTCCCGGGTCAGTTGGCCAGGGCGATTTCGCACGGCCATTGTCACCACCCAGGCCCTGGCCTGCGAGGTGCAAACAAGGGCTGGAGAATCTGCATGCGGGACGGGTGGGAAATGGGGGGGCATTAAAAACGTTCAAGTTCACACAAAAAGAAGCCAAAAGCACTTCGAATATCCCTCTCCGCTTTCCCCCCAAATCTTACTTTGATTTAAACAAGCTGCTAAGCCAAAGTTAAAAGTAGAGAAGGCTTTGGCCAATTTGGGGGAGGGGGAGTGACCAATATCTCCTTTCCACCTACTAGTTACCTCTTTACTCCCAAGCAAACAAGCGCAGAGGAGCTCTGAGTTCGCGGGTGGCGGGAAAAAGCAAGGAGAGGGTAGAAAACAGCCGTACCTGCCGGGGCTCGAGCTTCCTGGAGGGCCGGCGCGCGCTCCCCTCGGCGCCCCGGGAGCTTCGGCGGCGGCGAAGCCTCTCGCGGCCACTGTGCCGGGCGCCTCCAAGTCCCCCAACTCGCGGCGCGGGTCCCCTCGCCCCTGAGCTCTAGCTCGCCGGCGCTGACTGGCCCGTGGGAGTCACGTGCAAGGGCGGGGGGCGGGGGTGCGCCGCAGCCGCTGCACCTCAGCTGGGCGCCGGGCTGCGGGGCTGTTCAAAAAACTCCCCCCAGCAGGCAAAGTCCAGGCGCAGGGATCGCCTAGGAAAACGCCAAAAGTGCTACCGCCCGGGCGCGGGGCTTCACCCACCACCTTGCCTGAGGTCGATTCGGTTTGCAATTTTGCCCAGGGTCAGCTTTTTAATGAGCCTCCTCTCTCCCACCTCCTCCCACCTCCTTCCTCCACCCCCCGCCTCCTGGTGTTCCGGGTCCTGCAGCGGCCTAGGACTCGGTGGGCGAGGGGCGGGGCTAATAGAGGAAGGTGACCTCTTGGGCGCGATCCCCGATCGGGTGTGGGGCACTGGGTCACCAGGGGTGCCTGGCTGGCTGCAGGTCTTGGGGCGGTAGTGGCTAGTGGGGATCTTGCTAGCCCCGCACTCCGGTTAGGTGGAAGATACCACTGGGACTGGCTCCCTGAAATCTGAGAGCGGAGACCGAAGCCTCCCTTTCGCCTTCCCAGCAGCCGGGGGAGTCCGCAAGGCGCCGGCTCTAGCCCTCAATTTTACGTATTTATGCAAAACGAGCAGCCCTTCCTGGAGACGCTTTCCATCTCCTGCGGCGTCCTGCCTTCAGATCTTTCCGTTTTCTCTGCAGCCTGCAGCGCCGCTACACCAATCCAAGGGACGTAGCGGGGGCTTGGGGAGCTCGGCAGTCCAGCGGAGCTTCTCGGCCGGCCAAGAGGGCTCTTCCAGCGGCCTCAGCCCCCTCCCTAGAGCGGGGGCAGGGAGGGTGGCAGGCCTGAGTTTGGACTCGGCGTCAGTGGCTAGAGGCCCCAGCGCAGCGGGGCTGCGAGCCGGAGAGTCCCTCTGACAGGTCTAAAGGTTAATAGAGCAATCACAGGGCCCTATTACCGCGTAAAAATAACCCATCGATTACCGCAGCCTTCAGCCCCAGATAACAGCTGGCCGGTGGCTCTCACGCTTTCGGTTAATTTTTTCCCCCCTAAGGCTGCGTTTCTCTCCCTAGCGCACGTTTCTCATACCAGATTAGAAGGGTCGGGAAGGGGCCGGGATACCACCCTGCCCGAATCCTGTGCGGCTCCGAATGAAGGGTAGAGACGACACCCGCTTCCGCAGCTGGTAATCGGTTGTGGATTCCCGGCCTGCGCGAGGGCAACCCAGGCGCTGAGGATGAGGCTAGGACTCGGGGCTGATTGGAAGGAAACCCCCCAAAGGGATCGTGGCCAACTCGTGGGGATTCTCAGGAAAATCCCGGAGGAAGGACTGAGCGCGGCTGCGCGGGGAATTTTCTTCCCTGAGCTTAAAGGTGCGGAGGTCCAGAGGGGCCGAGCAGAGAAGAGAAAACTGAGGCGCCCTGCCGGGCGGCGGACGGTCTGCGCGCAGGCTGGGCTCACCGACGCCGCCCTCCAGGCTGCTGCTCGCCTGGGTCCCTTCGCGCAGGAAGCTGAGGGCGGCTTGCTTAGGATCCCTTCTCCAGCTTCCCCCAACTCCTCGCCAGCGCCTCTGCCGAATTCGGCGGGGCAGATCCCAGGGCTGGGAACTTAAGAGGGAGTGGGTCCTGGAGATTCTGGAAGCCGCAGCTGGGGAAAGGCGGTTTAGCGAGGACGCTTCAACCGGTGCACTTTCAGACGCAGCCAAGAAGGGTACACGACCTCAGGCCTGTTTGAAACGGGTCCTCATCCCCATTGGGGTGCAGCGAGAGAGGCACGAAGCCAAAAGCCTGCGTCAGGGGCCTACGAGGGCTTTTTGGAGAGTTCAAAGTCTGGGCTTGGACGAGTGAGAAGCTGCTCCGGCCTCTCTCTTCTGCGTGGGGATTTGTGGCTCAAGCGATGCCCGAGGTCTCATAACTGCCTCCCGCGCGCGACCCTCAGAAGGCGAAAAGGGCTGAGCCTGGGGAGCGGGCAGTGGATTTTCTTAGCAACAAGCCATGGGCTTGGGGCTTAGCCTCCTGTGGAGCGGCCATCTAAGCGTCCTTACCAAAGTCAAGGACACAGGCCGCTCCCTCGCGGGCTTCTTCCAGGAGAGTGGGGTGGGCCGCGGCGCGAGAGCGTGTGTGCGAAGGTTCGCATTAGCTGGGCGACCTACGGCGAGCCTCGCCCCACTCCTCCCCGCTCCGCCAGCCTCCCGGAACTTCAGTCTCCTCCTCTGTACAGTGCTGGGGGCAATAACAGGCCCTGCTCTGTGTGGCTGTTCTGAGACCCTGATGGAAGAGCCTGCTTTTTCTAAGCGCTTGCTTGCGAGGAGCCCCGGATTCACAGTGGGGCCGCTGCTGGCCAGGCCCCTGACAGAGCCCGTCTATCCACGCCCCCCACTGGCACTCTCTTGGTTGGCCGAAGCCTGGGAGCCCGTGAAAGAGTCGTTGCTTCTAGAAAGGCGCCTGGGACAGAGAAATTTATGTCTGTTTCTCGTGGCTTTTTTCTCTGGGCCCAGAGCCCCAACTTTCTCCCCAAAGGGCTCAGCTCAAAGACGGTCCCGAGGGTGGTTGGCTAGCGGCCTGCTCTTATGGGGTGTTTCATTTTCCCTCGCTCCCTCCCTCCTTCCTTCGCTCGCCCCCTCCCTCCCTTGGGCGAGACAGGAGCCGCCAGGGCCGCCGCGTTGCCAGGAGCGGGGAGCATTTCAAGGCCTCGCTGGCCCGCCGGCTGGAGGAGGTTTATCGGCTGCCGCTAGGTTCCCAGGCTTCTCCCTCGCTCAGGAGGCCGCTGGGAAGGGGTGGGGGGGTCCTCTGAGGTTCGGACTCTTGGCTATTTTTAAGATGTCCCTGGGCTGGCCTGGGATGGTGGCCCAACCCCACTCACGTCCTCTTTCCGCTTTTCTTTCCCATAGTCTACGGGGAAAATTTAAAACTGTGAAAGTCTTCGACCTCTTTTTACTAAGGGCCTGGGTCTAATGAATAGACAAGTGAGATTCTAGGCAAGGAAGAATTACTTAGATGTACTGTACGTTAAAAAAAAAATCTCTCCAGGACAAGAATAAGTTGCGTTTCCTTGCTCCATTAAGGCCTCTGGGACTTGAGCCGGTCCATACCCTAGTAGAGAGGCAATTGTAGGCTGGACATGATGTACAGAAAAATCTGAACTCTAGTTCCCCCGCAAAATAGTTAATAAACAGCGGATGGTGGAATTCACAGGGACACTAGCTAGGGTCTCCTCGCCCGGGGTTCCCCGGATTTCCTAGCGGCACCCGAGAAGGTTGCTTTAAGCCCAGCGCAGTGCTGGGTGCCACGATCTCAATTTCCGGCCCATGAGTCGTTGGACGCCCTGCGGATATCAGCCTCCGCGGCCGCCGTACCCCCAAACCAACGACGCCTGAAAAAATACGGGACCCCCAAAGTCTTATAATCGGGAACAAGAAGCCCCCAGAGAGAGAGAACCAGAGAGGGGACTACAGGAGTCATCCCTCGTCCTGTATAACGAATTCCTCCGAGATGTAGACGCTTCTCTGCGGACTTGTGCTCAAGGGCTCCAGGACAGACACGCAAAGTGACCCGCGCCGAACGTAAGCCGGCTCCTGGCCCCACACAGCCCGCGAATTCCCTGCCGGGCCTGGGCACGATACCTCCTCCCCTCTGCAACACTCGGTCCTCACTGCATGGTCCGCCCTGCCCCTGCGCAATCCCCCGCGCGTGGAGCGCGGAGAACCGAGGTGCGGAGGAGGGCCGGTCCCCGCCAATGGAAAAATGGAGAATGAATTAAGCTGCAAGGCTACGTAGACCATCTTCCCCTCCTTGGACACCGGGAATTCTTTGTGGGGGACGTGGGGTGGGGGGAAAGATAGAGACCCCTGCCCCCTCCCAGCGGGAACCGAGCTCCGCACCCCAGGAAGCAGTCATCAGCCTCCTCCCGGCAGATGTGAGGAGAAAAGGCAGCAACGCTTTTTAATTCTCTGTCTTGCTTTTAAAATACTATTCGGTGTTGCAAAGTGAAGCCACGCTCTCACTCACAGACCTCTGCAAACGCTTCCTGGTGCTTCCGGCCCTAAGGATCAGAGTTTTCGGCACACCCCGTCATGTTTGATGGTCATTTCCAGATTACAGAACACTCTTGAATTCCGTTTTTCTCGAGGAAACAACAACATCGCCGCGCTCGAGGGAGGGAGAGATGTTACCACGCTCACGCAAACGGGACCTTGGAGAGCTAGAGCGGTTAAGACGCTTGTCCGAGGCGGCGAAGCCGGTGCGCTCGGCAATAGGTCTCGAATCTAGATTCCTGCGTCTCAGTTCTTTTTTCCATTCTTTTTAATATCGAGTTTCTATAATGAAACCACTTTTTTAATCCCTCATTTTGCTTTTCAGATATTTCTAAATTTCCTTTAATGAGTACGTCTGATATTTAAAAATTAAAATCAGTTTAAAATAAAACGGTTCATGTCTCATAATGTAAGAGCCCGCGGGAAGGGAAAGAAAGTGAAAAGTTTTCATTTTCATTAAGTTCGGGAAGGATGCCAGAGGCTTTCTGAAGGGGAGGGCGCTGCGCAGGTCCTGGGGCCGCGGAGGCCAGAACTGAAACCCGGTCCGGCGCCCGCAAGTCCCGGCACTGTCGCCAGCGGGTCGGCGAGCTCCGAGCGCCCGGCTGCTGCGGCCACACTGACGCCGTCGCTATGCCCCTCTTCCCCCTCCCAGCCTGGGTCCCTGTCCCCCTCCTCATCCAAGGACTTCAAGAAAACAGCAGCAAGCGGGAGCTTCCGGCACCCACTGCCCAGTCTGCGCCGAGACCTGTTCGTGGCCTGCAGACTCTGAGCTGTCGCGGCGCGGCCCTTCTCTTGGGGGACTGAAGCTGCCACCTCCGGGTGGGCCCCAATTCTTTCACTTGTGGGTCCTCCCTCCCTCCTCCCCTGTCAGGGACTTTGGAAGTGGCAGCGCGAGGGGCACCCAGTGCAGAGCAAGAGCATGATAAATGTTTTTGGGATACATAAAATGTTAATTTGCTT